GCTCTCTCTCATTATATATATATATATATATCTTTACTTCTTTCGATCTATCCCTTTTTGTCTCTATTTCTTTCTCTGTAGTTCTTTCTCTTTCTCTCTTTTCCTCTCCCTTTCTCTCTTTCTTTCTCCTTTCTCTCTTCTTTATCTGTCACTCTTTCTCGCTTCCTCACTCTCTTTCTATATGTCTCTCTCTTTTTCTTCCTCTCTATATCTCACTCACTCTCTCTCTCGTACTGTCTTTCGCTTTCTCTATTTCTCTCTGCCCCCTTCTCTCTATATATATTTCTCTCTGTCTCTTTTCCTCTCTTTTCCTCTCTATCTTCTTTCTCTTTCTCTCTCTTTCTCTCTATTTCTATTTCTTTTTCTCTTTCTCACACAAACTCCCTCCCTCTTTCTGTCTGTCTGTCTGTCTGTCTGTCTTCTGATATATCGATAATGCGAGGTGATAACAAAATGCTCTGGAATTCGGAACATGAAAGAAACTACTTAAAGTGTATCGACAATATGTTGCATTCGATCCGTCCGCCATATTGAATTTTTCAGAAACCTTGCTCAACACTTCATAGATATCTCTCGCGTTTTCTTTTTAGTATGTCTATTCCTCGTCTTTATGCATGTTTCTTTATTATTATTATTATTATTATTATTATTATTATTATTATTATCTTTGATTTCTGGCGTTTACACATTTCTTTCCGGGTCCCGCCCAGGGGCCTAAGGTTTTAAATGGCATCATGGCACTTTCCACTGACAAAAAAAAAAAAATTACATAGATAAAGCCCTTCGTAAAGTGTGGGCTGTACTTGTCAGAACAATTTTTTGTATCTCTTTGAGGCATGGACTTCCAGGAATCCCTTCAATTAGTCTACTGCAATCTTTTCCAACCAGTTCTAGGGCTCCAACTACAACAGGGATTGTTGATGTTCCCATATGCCACATTTTCGAGATTTCTATTTCAAGGTCCTTGTATTTTGACAGCTTTTTGAATATCTTCAAAGATACATTGCAGTCAGCAGGGAGTGCCATATCAATAAGGAGGCACTTTTTTTTTGTGGTCTTTAATAGCAATATCTGGGCGGTTGGCTTATTATTATTATTATTATTATTATTTGCTTTTATTTCTGTTGTATGTACATTTTCTTCCGAGTTCCAACCAAAGACCGCCATTGTATAGCTGAAAGCGGTCGGTGAAAAAAAAAACAAAAAACATTCGGCCAGTTTTTATATAATTTATCATCTGAAAAGAAGAAAATTATTAAATCGCATGAGAAATTGTATACAAATCTAAATCAAAGCAACTTGTCTGTCGTATTCAAAGAAATATGCATATATAAATATGTCGAAATGCCAAGTGAGAATAGAATGTAGCCAGGATGGCACTGCAGAATATCACCAACTTGAGATGAGAGTCTTTGACACACGCACCATGTTCTCGCCATCTCTCGTCCACTGACATCTATAGAACATTTTAATGATTCTAGACAATTTTAAAACCAAAAGACATTTCGTTGCACTGAATATTAGGCACTGTATTCAAAGATTTCATGTAGTCCACATCTTTACGGAGTTAATCGTAAAGGCAGAAATAAACTTGTAATTCGATGTCATGATGCCATATCTGACCTTAGGTCTCTGTTTGAATATACACCAGAAATCAAATCAAATAAAATAATAATAATATTTTTTTTAAATGTTCAGTGGAAAATGTCATGAAACCATCTCTAACTTTTAATCTTTGGTTGGCTTTGTTTTGTTTTGTTTTGTTTTATGGCATATCAACATCAATGGGTTATTTAATGCCAACAAGATTTTTATTGCTGGTAATATTTTTTTCCTCGAACATGTATTGTTGGTAATAATTTTTCCTCAAAAATTTATTGCAGGCAATAATTTTTTACAAAGTATTTCTGGTATTAAAACCTATTTTTACACTTTCATAGTTTTTTGACTCTGGTTTGGTTTTTGGTTTCTTTTACGGTATATCAACATCAATGGAACTATAGAACATTTGGACAGTTTCTACACACCCTGTGTCCTAAAAAGGAAGCACTTGTTCGAACACAAGAAAAATTTTAAAAAAAAGCTTAACTGTAGTATCTTGTCTGTCGTGTTTAATGAAACATGCATAAATGAAGGATTGCTGCCTAAATACAAAATATATAAAGAATAGAGTGCTACAGGTATTTACCATATATATATATATATATATATATATATATATATATAGAGAGAGAGTGTGTATATGTTTTATTGTGAAAAGACTTACATCATCACTCATAAAATACGAGTTGTAACTACAAATACATTTAAATATTTTTTTTAATTTTCTCTATTCCAAAACGAATCTATTCCAAAACAAATTTATCTGTACCACTCGAGCTCCAACCTATAATTTTAATGACTTACAAATCAGCAATACAAAACTAAGTTTGAGTGTGCGTAATTAGATGAGAGTTATAAAACTATGTAAATATATAAAGCGATGTTAAGTTATACAACTTCTAAATAAATAAACGGCAAATTCTGTCTGTGCGTCCACTAACTCGGGTCAAACATAGACATATAAGTTTTTGGAATCAAGATGATCCCGGGATTGAAAACCTATCCCTCATCTGGGACTAGGACATCCAGCTTTGGGATTTATAGACAGATGAGGTGGGAAGAGTTAAAAGTTCAAATTCTATCTATCTATCTATCTAGCTAGCTAGCTAGCTAGCTATCTGTCTGTCTGTCTGTCTGTCTAAATTCTATTTTTCTAATCTATATAGATCTAAATAAATAAACGAGAAATTGTGTCTGTCCGTGTGTCTGTAAACCCACTAACTCCGTCACACTTGCTCTGCATAGACAAACTACCTTTTTTTTGCCTGTTTTTAATTTTGATATCGCGACTTCATTTCATATATATCTCTATCTATAAAAGGCAGGATGTGTGTGTGTGTGTGTGTGTGTGTGTGTGTGTGTGTGTGTGTGTGTGTGTGTGTGTGTGTGTGTGTAACGAATGCACTGCCGCAATATTCGACGGATTTGCACCAAAATTTACATGCACATGCTCCAAGTTAGCGGGAAGGCCAACACCGACCTTGCATTTCCGAACTCCCACCGATATTGGAAATAATCGATTTTTTCATGCTTCTACGGCAGTTTTCATGTAGTTTGCGGCCATTTTCTACTGGCCAGAGTGAGAGCCTATAGCTGGCTGCCACGAATAGGCAGAAAGGCCATTTTTAATAGGTATTTCTTTTTAATGTCCTCCACTCCTGCTATGAACCATATTTTCTTAATTAAAACTTGCCATAGGGATAACAATGCCTTCAAAAAAAATGGTGTAAGATAAGAGAGGATTTCATGTTACAGACAACTAAATAAATAAATGCCAAATTCTGTCTGTATGTCCGTGTGTCTGAAACCCCTCTAATTCGGGTCACACTTGAACTGCATAGACATGTTATAACTTCTTGGAATCCGGATGATCCCGGGATTGGAAATCTATCCCTCATCTGGTAATTGAACATCCAGCTTTGGGATTTATATAGAGATGAGGAGAGAAGAGTTAAAAATTCAAATTCTATCTATTCTATCTATCTATCTATCTATCTATCTATCTATCTATCTGTCTAAATTCTTCTATTCTTCTAATCTATATAGATCTAAATAAATAAAGACCAAATTCTGTCTGTATGTCCGTGTGTCTGAAACCCCTCTAATTCGGGTCACACTTGAACTGCATAGACAAATTATAACTTCTTGGAATCCGGATGATCCCGGGATTGGAAATCTATCCCTTATCTGGTAATTGAACATCCAGCTTTGGGATTTGTGTAAGTTTGGATGTTCGAGTTTTGTGACGGACGATGGTTCGTAATTGTTAATCGGAGAGTCGAGTTCCAATTCCAGTTGTATTTGTCATTTTCACTTATGCGCAAATACCCTTGCTAAAGGAAAAGTATGAATCCGCCCCTTTCCCCCACTAATGGGTTAATTAGTAAAACTTAGTATGAATAAAACGATTATTATCGCCAAAATTAAAAGCACAATCTACCAAAAGCAACAGATTGTTTAAATAGTGCCTCTCGTATTATATTTATATTATGTAGATTAATGAAATGGGACAACAAAAATATGTATACTCATGTTCAGCAAATACAAGCGCCATATATCTCTCTCTCTCTCTCTCTCTCTCTATATATATATATATATATATATATATATATATATATATACCCAAGTATATGATAGGTATATATGGAATGAATTCCAATAACCAACAAATACTATTCTTAAAAGAGTGCTCAATACAAAGTAGAGCAGATATAATCATTTATTTAAAAAAATTTATAACATAAATATGTTATAAAATCACCACAAAAATAGCCATTTTGTTTCAACACTCTCAGTGTCTTATCAAGTGATGATGTTGAATGTAAAATAAATGGTTTTAAAAGTTTTGAATTAATTAACAATCCTTCACAAGGGGAAAACGTTGTTACAAAAGCTAGATGGACCAATCAAAATACAAGTATAGGAAAATTCAAAAAGCTTGACAACGAAGTCATGTTATAATAGCTATTCAGATGTTTAAAATATGGGTAGTATTAAAAAAGAATTTATTCTAACCAATAATTACTAAATTATATGATAAAATTTAATATTAAAATTAAAAACTGCTAATTTCAAGATCAAAATTTAATCGCTATTAAGTTTACAACTATAAAATTACTGAAGAGAAAAGAAGAAATATATATGTTATTCAATTTATTTCTTCATTGAAGTTACTTTAGCTAATTTTATATCCGGTCCTTTGACAATGTATACATTTTAATCCTAAGA